ACAGTCCAGCTCCAGTCAGAACTTGGGGGTGAAAAGTGGTTTGATTGCTAGTAAGGTTTGTAAACCTTTTTACCAACACAAATGAAAATTGTTTAACAGCACCATTTCACATATGGAGTGAATTGACAGTATCGCATCACAAAAGCAATAGTGTAGAAAATGTGAAGATGAGAGGTACTGCTTTAATAGGGCATAGATCAGGGTTTGACTATGCAGCAGTGGTGGGGCCAGTAGCCAATGTGCTCCTAGGGAGCCCTCCCCTGCCACTCCAAGCTGCTGCCTAAGTGGCAGCCCGTACACAAAAGGAGCTGGCTTCAAAACTGGCTCACCACGTGTAGGGGCTCTCCACCCCTCCCCCCCTCAGGTGCTGCCTCTGATATAGCAGTGCAGGGAGCAGTCTTAAAGGCTTGCTCTCCACATGCACCAACTCCTGCCTTGGATACAGTGGGGGATGAGGGTGTACAGCCATGCACGTTAAGCCTCAACTCCACCAGTAATCAGTTAACCTGTACTCATGTACACAGTTAACAGCCCTAGGCAGCATCACAAAAACAGGCTTAAGAAACTCACTGAACTTTTGGGAAAGAATCAAGAAGAGGGAGGAGAGAAAGAAGCTGTTAAATATAGAGTAGTGGTTACTAATCAAGATTATCAGCAGATCTTGGAGTCTGCCAGGTGATCCTGATTTGTTTGGTCAGAAAGCCATCAAGCACTGGCACTGCAGTTGCCCCTCCACCCACTGTCACACTGCTCCTGCCCTCTGCCTTGGAGCTGCCCTCCCACAATCCTCCTACTTGCTGGGCAGTGTGTGGGAGAGAAGGAGAGCACTGATGTCAGGGTGCAATGCAAGTTTTACTCAGAAACACAGTCCTGCACTCATCTCCTGACCCAATACACATGTGAGCAGCTGTTACTTCTTTTACTGCTTGCAAAGTGTTTTTGGTTTGACTGGTCTGTGCATGTCAGTTTTTATTTCTCTCATACTTAAGTTTGAGTAGTGAGTTCTAAAATGCCTAACCTGTCATGGCTGCAGTAATTATCCCAATGGCAATTGCTGCTGCTGGCCCCTGAGAAGTGAAGAGCACAGGTGGGTGGGGGTGGTGCCAGCTGCTGTCCTTGCCTGCAGGCACCACTCTTGCAGCTCCCATTGATCAATAATGGGGAACTGTGGCCAGTAGAAGCTGTGGGTTCAGTGCCTATAGATGAGAAGCAGCACCCAGCACCATGGAGCCATTTCTGTACATGCCAGCTGCTTTCAGGAGTGATGCAGGGCTAAGGCAGGAGTAAGCCTACCTTAACTCTGTTTCATGACCTGGAAGCAGTTGCAGTTAAAAGTGTCCAGCCAGAGCACATTTCTCCTCCTGCCCTAGACATGAATGCCGAATGCCCTTGCACCTAAACTCGTTCCTGGAGCTTGCACCCTGAAACCTCTTCTAGACCCCAATCCCACACCTTGGGCTAAGCCTAAAGCCTTTTCTACACCTCTAACCCTTTTACCCAAGACCAGAGCCTGCACCCCAGCCTGGTGAAAGTGAGGGAAGGAGGATGGAATGAGCAGGGTGAGGCCCAAAAGAAGGGGTGGGGGCAGGGCCTCAAAGAAGGGGTAGGAAGGAAGTAGGGCATGGGTACTGAGTTTGAAGTGTCTTACACAGCACTTTAATTGGAAAAAAGTGATCCTGTGGTTAAAAGAGGTTGGAGACCAATGGTATTTAGAGCCACAAGACCAGGAAGCAACAGTATTTTGTTTTATGTAGCAAGCTCATAATAGGCAGATTTCTTACTTAGAAACTTGTATGGAATCCTGGTGTGGACTTAAAGCATTAAGAGTTAAAGACACAATTTGCTCATGTCAGACTGTTTAACACTGTAAGGCAATATTTAAAAAAAATAAATTTCCTACTTTCCTCTGCAGCTGCTAAGCCGCATCGCTTCTAAAGTGAGGTAGAACACGGAATGTGTTTTGTTCTCACACATGTACAAGAAAACCAGTTATTGCAATTACACACAGCCTGGACATATACAAAGCCCCAGGAAGGCTTTGGAGTATCACCGGTGTCACAGCTCCAACAGGTGGTCTTCTTTAAACCAAGACAAAATCATCACACCAACATGACATCTTTCTAATCCCCACTGCCAAAGGGTCATTTTAGTATCTTGCCTAATGGCACAAACATGCAAGACAGTTACAATTAAATGTTATTTCAACTCTGGACAGAAAAGTCAAATTCAGTTTCTACAGTTCTCTGGGGTCACCTCTATCTATGGAGTGGGAAAGGTAATATTTTTTAGTTTAAGAACTGATGAAATCAGTGGTATATTATCTTTCCCCTCTGGGTTTTTTCTATTTCTTCTTATTTCCATTTTGACAAGCTGAATAGTTATATACTTCTGAGATGAGGTGCAGTTAGCTTCCAATATTGTTCTCTTCACTACTAGCCTGCAGCATAAGCATCTAGTTTATAGTTGTCACCTATTCCTCCGCCTGGTTTTTTCCCCCCCATTTGTTACATGAAGTTTTAGTCAGTTTAGGCTAGTTAACTGAAGGTTTCTAGAACAGCAATTTTAGTAATACTACTACACCCAAGCTAGGACCTATATTAAACATTAATACACAACTCTGGTAAAAAAAGATTTTTGAGCATTATCTACTTTCTCCCTTCCCTCTGCTCCCAAGTGCTAGGCACCACACCATTAGAGTCACCATAATGCCACAAGAGCTGTACAACTAACATTTCAGTCAACAGCTGCCCCTAGGACTCTATGTACATAAGAGTCAGTGGGCCCTTGTACAGGTCAGACCCTCATCTTTTCCTATTCTCAGACCCCCAAATACCCAACTCCAGGAGTGGATGGAGGAAAAGAGTAAGCAGTGCCACCTGTGTATGCACTACCACTTAATATAAAAGGAATGGGATAGGTATACATGAAGAGGAACCCTGAGCTTCAACAGGGAATCCAAGGGGTACCAGCTATCTATCCTAAGTCCACTTCATTAATCAAATAAAGTACCACATTAGATGAAACTAACACAAAGAGGTACAATTCCAATTTAAAAAGGGGACTAAGGAAAGGTTTAGGCTACAATGATGCAACTGCACCACTGTAGAGTGTCTTAAGCACTGGTGCGGATAGCACAAATCTGGCATGGGGCGGGGGGAGGAGGGGAAGAGGCAGTTTTCACATCCTTGAGCAACGGAAGTTAAGACTTTAGTGGTAATGTAGGCCTGCCCACATTTTTCTAGTCAAAAGGGGGCCAGCCTCTACTCAGCAAGCTAAGAGTTTCCTCTACCCGGCCTTCTTTTCCTCTGTCCTGTTTAAGGTCTTTTTCTTTTTGTAAGCTTCTGCTTGCACCTCACTGTTTTTCCACATTTCCCCCCCTCCCAGCTTTTGTCAAGGTTGCACAACATCTCTTTTGGGAGGGATTTCACAGCACCAGAATCAAGCAGATTTTAAGTATATTTGTTTTCACTGTGCTTCTGTGACAAAGGCGGATACAACTGTGGGGCAGAACACTACAGGCATGCTCTGCGACTGTAGCATTAGACAGAGGGAAAAACCAATACAAGAAGTTGCAGGGATTCTGGAACAAATCTTGGTCTTTCAGCCTGCAACACAACTGGACTAGTTTGACCTATAAAGTATGCTTTAAGTGTAATCACATTTTTAACACAAAATATTTGATTGGGATCTAGTATAGAGCATTTCCTTCATTCAATGCCAATGTTCCTAAAAAAAGCCTCCAAAACTCACATCTTTTCATAAAGACCAAACAATACAGAAGACAGCATCTCCAGGATTTACACAATTAAGACTGTCAGTCCAAGTTTAAGAATCTTCTAACCTCAAATCATTAGGTTAGCCATTTATTTCAGGGTCTAACCTTTGCATTTCTGTATTAAAATTTTCCTATGTGTAATCCAAGGGTGTTATGACACTATTTGATGCTGGATAAAAAGGAGGTCCTCCTCCCTTAGTGAAGTTATTTGGAACTACTATTGAAAACTTAAAGAAAATGTCTAGTGGCACCTTAAAGACTAACAAAACATGTAGATGGTATCATGAGCTTTCATGGGCACAACCCACTTCTTCAGAAGACAGAACCAAAGAAGTACTTTGAGCAGAAGGCATGCTAGTTATATGATCAGGGTAAGAGGCTGTAACTGGGACCACATTTAGTTATGTAACTAGACTCCTAACTCGCACATGTGACTTATGGATCAGATAGCATTGATTTGGCAAGTCATTATTTACAGTACTAATGTTAATGTGACAATACACAAACTCCAGGATAATAGGTCCGATAAGGCACTTTAAGCTCCCCTTCCTCACTCAGTATTGTCCAGACAGACGTGTAGAAACAAAAATATAAATGAACAGATTAAGAGGGATAATAACACATTAGTCTCTAGATGCAGAAACCATAGACTTCTCTACAGTTTCACTTTCCACATTTCTTGTTCTGTAAAGTTTTAAATATGGCGTCTTTAAAAGACTATCAGGATTACATAGCCTGTAAAAATAGTCCCTGGAAAAGTTATTATGCACATATCCAAGAATTAATACTTTGGAAATAGTGTGATTACACCAATCATATTTGTTCTACACCAATCATATTTGTTCTATCTGCGGTATGAACTCTGTTATTTAACTGCCTCATGTTCTTAGTGAAGCTGTTCCACAATAGAAATGGGGATCACCCCAACCCCCAAAATAGTATTCAACTTTCACGACTGGTCTATGACTTTTCCCTTAGTAAGCCACCTCTGCAAATCGATCCAATGTTGGGAGCGCACCCCAGCTCACAAAAATGGGTCTATTAACAAAACTGCAGAGGCGACTAGGATAAGTGTCTTACTCACACAAAGAGACTAACACACACTATCATAGGAAATCGAAGCAAAGAAGTTGCTCTTGCAAGTGAAACATGGAGAACCAAAACCATTTGAGTCACCCAAACCGGATCGCAAATATGACCTAATTTAGATAGCAGCAGCAATCACCTTACAACCTTGTCCGGCAGTAATGGAAAAAATTACTCCCCGCCTCCATGCCCGCACGGAAAAGGAGGGGCTGGGGCAGGGAGAAGAGCGAGAACTTTCTTCTGCAGCAGCTAAGCTCAATGCAGAGGAGGGGGAGGAGGAAAACTTTCCCCACAAGGAGCTGCCACATCCTGGGGGTGGGGAAATGGGACGAGAAGCGAGAACTTTCCTTAGTAGCACGAACTACACCCTCCTGCAGATGGGCAATAGGGAAGGAGAATAAAAATCCACCCAGACTCTCCAGCCTGGGGCGGGGATGAATAGGGCGGGGGAGGAAGCGCAGACTCTCCCCAGCAGCCGCCTTCTCAGCCAGCTTGGTCTGCAGCCAAACAGCCCCACAAGAATGCAACGCGGTCACATGACCTCCGGCGGACGTGCAGCTCCTGTCCCTCTCCAGGGAGACCCCGCGCCATCTTGTGCTGACGCAGTTATAAATACAAACGGTCCCTCTCCCCCTGCTTATCTCCTCACAGTCCTGGTACCGCTTAGCTTAGGTGATGGTTGTCAAGGCCTTCACGTTCCCTTCCCGTGAGCTTGCCTCGCTCTCCGGGCCCTCAGCCTCCCCAGCGCCGGGATCATGGCGCCTGTTTTCTCCCTTTGCACCAGCCTCCCCAGACAGCTCCTCAGCCCTGCCCAGCTGCGGCTGCCCCTGCTGCAAGATGATGTCAGCAGCAGCCAATCCGGGCGCCCCTGGGCAGCCCAGCCAGCCTGGTGATTGGCTTCAATGCCGTCCGCTCCCCCCGCCTCTTCCTCCTGACTCAGTCCTCACCGCGGTTCGCTGCGGAGAAGTGGCCAAGGGAGGGGGAGGGAAATAGGAGAAAAAAGAGCCAACGAAAAAAGCCAAACAACCAAACCCAGCAAGACAGCAGCCGCCATTTCGCGCAACAGGCAGAACCCGAGCGAGCAGCCCAACCAAGCGCCCTACGGAGAGAGAGAGAGAGAGAGAGAGAAACAGAGACACACACGCGAGTTAGACAGGAAAAAATACCCTCAGACTCCGCCATGGCCACAAGACGTTTAATCCCTCCCTCCCCCCATACTCGAGGTCTCGTTACAGCCGCCTCCTCCGCATCCAGATCCCTCTCGACTCCTGTCTGCTACAGCAGCGGTTCTTTAGCCCCACACGCCTCTGTGCCCAAGGTACGGGGAAGGGTTGGCTATGGCGGCGGCTTCCCCAGTCACCCACTCGTGGCGGCTCCATCGAGGCAGGGTAAAGAGCTGCCAGCCCAGCTTTTATGTGGTGCACCGAGTTTGCGCACTGAAGAAGGCTCGCTCAGCCCCTGGTGGGCGTCGAATAAAACCCCAGCCGCCGCCGTTTCCCCTCCCTCCCTCCCTCAGCCATCGCCGGAGGGCGAAGCCAGGCGGGGAATGCGGGGTGGTGTGTGGGCAGCACACGCAGGGAGGGTGGGGGTGGGAAGAAGGGAAGGTGCTCAGTATACACACAGGGGCTGCGCCTGTCTCACGCGCGTACCTCTCGCTCCGCTATTGATTAGCGCTAGTCAGGGCAGCCTAGACCAGCCCCTACCCTAGTGCCATTAGCTAAAGAAGAGGCTCGCAAACAGAGCTGGCCCTGTCCCTCGTGTCTCATTCCTCGGAGGTTCCCTTAGACAGGCCCGCGCAAGATCTCACTCGCGGACTGGCTTCCTCAGACAGACCTGCCTTAGGTCTTCACCATCTGAGCGTGGGGGAGGGGACCCCCCTCAATCAGTAGCCCTGCATCGTTCACCGAATGGGCTTCAAACCTCTAACCCCTCCTCCCGTCTCACTCTGTGTAGGGGAGACTGCCTCGGGCTGGCAGCCTGCCCCACAGTCCGGGCTGTCGGCACGGCTGGCCTGGTCTCACAAGAGGTCAGAGGGCAGGTTGGCGCCGGGGACTCGCTCGCGGGTAGGCTGAAGAGAGGTTTCCGTGTCTGAGTCCCTGGGGAAGGCAGGGGCTCGCCGCAAGTCAGCGAGACGCGCGTTAGGTCACCCGCAGTATCATTTGGGGCCCGAGCTCCTGCCCCTCCCCCCATACACTCAGCTGTACGGTCGCCCTGAGCCCTCACCGCCCCAATGCCGCTCCCTACGCAGCCCCTTTGTGGAATTTTTCGATCGGGCTATCCAGCCCTCAAACAATGTAATAGCACGAGGAACGACTCTCCCCCTTTGAAAAATGGACAAGGCGCGAGGGAGGACTTAACGGACACAGACAGCGCTCCAGCCCACAAGCAAAATGGCGGCTGTTTGGCTTCGCCCTGGTAACCTTGCCCCTGCCGGGCGGGACGGGTAAGCCCCGTGCAGTGGGAGGGAGGGGAGAGCGGAGGACGCCATTTTCCCAGAGAGAGGCAGTGACATAGAGGGAGCGTAGGAGGCTGAGAGGAGGGAGACGGGAGCAGCAGCGGCAGAGGGGTTTGTACATAGGTCCCAAGGTAAAGGCGCTTCCCAGCAGGGTTCTGAGAACCGAGCCGGTCTGCAGGACCCCTCCGCTCACTCCTCTACGCCAGAGTCGGCTGAGGGCTGAGTCCTGACCAGTTTAGGGACATCCGCAGTGGGGCCGTTGCATTATTTTGGTTGGGATAGGAAAGGGGCTCCGCTAAGTGGGTCCTGCTGCCTGGCCTGTGACCATTACAGGTGAGTCTTCTGTTATGATGATCATGTCCTGGCGAGGAGGGAGGGGGTTCTAGTAAGGGTTAAAACGTTAGAGGGGCATCCCTTTACATCTGGGAGGGGTGGGGTGTAAGATCCCCCTCCCCCAAACCACCGTGCGTGATTATGTATAATTTGCTTTGGATTGTGTTTTAGGTTCTCTGGGTTGGGTTGAAAATGTAAGGGAGTCGTTATATCTTGTGAATATGGCGGGTTACTGTAACTGGAGGCGCTGAGGGGATTTTTTGGCAGTTATGCAGGATTTATACATTATGATTACAACCCCAAACAAACCCAAGAGGGGCTCTTAGGTAACATGCAACATATATTTATGTAGACTCAGAGTTTAAGAACAGGCATGTGTAAATAGTATGATTACGTACTGGGTTGTATGCATGAAGCTTAGAAAATAGTCTCCCCATCCTGTATATTTTTGTTCTGCTACTAAAATGGCTCGCTATAGGCCTAATCTCTCTTCCTTCCACACCCCCCAGCTCCCTCCCTCCCTCCTTAATATATCGTCTGTGGTGTAACCTGAACAAACGGAAAACAGTTCTAAAGAGTTTGTGTCAATTTAAAAGGGGATGATTCTCCCCATCCCTTTTGTAGAGATGGTCAGAAGCCCAAGGCATATTTATAATATTCCTCTTTTCCGTCTTGTTTTAATTTTTATATCTAGCATTGGCATTTCCGTATGTGGTGTATATATCTAAATCTTTTTCTTGAAAGACATTAGTAGGAGTAAGCCCTACTGCTGCAGACCTAGGGGAGGAGAAACAAACGGTCCACTGTGTAGTACTAAATAGGGTAGAAGAAACATAATGTAGTCCAATTATAAAGGTCCTGTATTCCCCAATACTGGGTCATTTAGGAATGTGTGGTAGCGAAAAGCCAAGCCCTCAGGTCCCTAAAATTGTACACACTACGTTTTATTAACGGCAGAACTTAAGAATGTGTTAGCCTTAGTTTATTTACATCATTCTAAAGGGATTAGTAACGAAAAGGCTTTTTTTGGTTTTTTGAGACCTGCCTCAGTGAACTGAGAGAGATGGCTATGACCGTAGGTAGCATACCTAAATGCTTGACCATAAATGTCGTACCTTTTACGTTACTTATAGTAAATGTGGAGTAAAAATTGTAATTTCCCTCTTTTGTCCTTTAGAGATTCTAAAAATGGCGGCCCCAGGCTGATGTTGTGGTAATCTAATCAGCTCGGGTCCTCCACACCCCATGCAGTGCGTTTGTCTGCAGCACATTACTAGCTTGTTATGCTTAAATGAAAAGGCTGGTTTCTTCAAATCACGTACAAAACATGTCTTGACTTTACTATGAATAAAATGCTGAATCCCAGCTGATTGATTTTATTGGTTATGTGTGTGAAAGGCAAATGAACGAGACCACTTTTACCGCTGGGGGTGGGGGAAGACGATAGACTCAAGTAGCTTCTTTGGGGGGAGGGGGTGTTTGTATCTTTGTGTGATGTATGCCATATTAATCTCTTCACTTTCGTTTCAATAATGTTTTGGAAGAATTCCTATATCCATGCTAGTTAACATATATGTGTATCAAAATACAGTCTTTTGTTAAACACAAGGACCAGTAATACTTACCAAGAAAGAAGATTAAAACAATCTTAACTAAATTCTTAGTGATTGCATTTGGGAAAGCCAGGTTAATCTTTGACAAAATATGTTCTTTATTGCAAATGGTGGTATTAATATTATTAATAACTAACTAAAACTATTTCCCCCAAAATATTAATGTAACACTTTGATAATGTCCAAGAAAATATCTAGAGAAAATAAAAACCTGTTACTTTAGCTTCAAGTAGCTTACATGTAATTTTTCAGCATGAGCATCTTTTTTGTTAATTCATTAAATATATATTGTGAAGTGTGAAAACTGTCTGATAATGAACATAAAAAATAAGTGAAACTACAGTACCTACTGTTTCTTTCTGTCCCAAATGACACATGAACCTTTTATTATCATCATAAAAAGATGATGGGGGGTGTGTGTGTGTGTGTGTGTGTGTGTGTGTGCGTGAAGCAAAGAAGCAGTCTTTTAGTAGTTGATATATTGAACACAATTGATAGACACACATCTCAGGAAATTTGTCATGTTTTTAATGTTAAATTTACAAAAGGTAAATACAAATTTGTAAATTCAAACTCCTGATGTCCCTAATTTAATAAGATGCAAGTTCCCATTTTAGTGTATTATTGGAACCTTCTGGATTTTAAGAACCAAATGCAAAATACTGTTCCAGTAGCAAGCCATTTTTCACTGTGTAAATAGTTTTAACTTATGAATATTATTTTTGTCTACTTTGGAAGAATTGATAATTTGTTCTTTATATCTGTATCAGCTAAGCAACCAGATTTTGAAGGTATGCATTAACAGCTTTGCAAGGCATGCCTTGTGTGTGGTGAGGCCAAAGGCGGAGTGATTTAAACCACACAAGTAGTGTATTAATAGGACAAGGCATGCATTACTGGGACAAATATTGCTATAATATGAATTTTTAAAATTTAAATCCATGTATGGTTTTACTCAGTTATACATTTGTAATACATTAGGGCTGGATAAAAGGTCTGTTGAAAACTTGTAGAGTTTTCTTGATTAGGATTCTGGTAATTCCTGTAGATTTCTATGTTTGATTCTATTACCTAAGTTTCTTATGGTAATAGGACTTGTGTGCAAATATCAAGAAGCAAAGGGGCAGGCATATCTTACACCTTTAGATGGCAGTTTCAACATGACTAGGGTAATATAAGCCGAATCTGAAGTATAATCCGAAATATTTGGTTTAAACCAATGTCCTGTACCTTAAAAGTGATCTGAAAAGCATTTGCAGTATAAGGAACATTTTTTTTACCACTAGACTTCCTTGGGAATCAGAAGGTCTTTCTTGTGACATTGTATGAGTCCCTTTATCTCTCTTTTCCCATGTGTAAAATGGGGATAGTAATTCTTTACCTCACAAAGGTGCTTTAAAGCTAAATTCATTCATGTTTTTTGAGAAACATGGCTATTATGAGAATAAATACCACAATAAAAGTCTATACATAAATTCAGCAGATATATTTTCAATTTTAAAAAAATAGATTATCTACTCAAAAATGATCTGAGATGTAGTTTTAAAATTTCAAAATCTTTAACGCTCTGTTTTATGTTCCATATGTACCAGTATCTTTCCAAATGTCAGACTCAATATGCGAGTAGCCTTTCAGTCATTTGGACTCCCAAGTACAAAGGCCATCAATATGTTTTGGGCATCTGCATTTGGAATGTCGTAGTGTTATCTTGGGATATCAAGAGAAAAATATTGGGAGAAGGTAAATACTTTCTTAGCATATTTTCATGAAATTACTAGGACTCAGATTATTTCTGTGGAATAGATTTCTGTGTTTCAGTTTTCTTGTCAAACTGGTTTTAATATTTTGTTGAGAATTGATATTTATTAAGCACTTTGAAATTCTCTTATTGTTAATGTTAAACTAAACTTTCACTGGAGTCTTGGTAATCAATTTTTTGTTTTCCAATTGATTTCAAATGTTAGTCTCTTTAAAGGTCTACAGGATTATCTGTAAAACCCCATTCCCCAAGGATTTATGCACATGCTTAATTTTATTTAATTTGATTTTGTTAGGATTAATTGCAGAGCATAAAGACAAAATACCTGTGTATTAAGGATTGAGGCCTTAATTCTCTTTGAATGTACTCAAGTGATTCATTGTGAACACTATAAATTAGTATATCTCAAATTTTAACATTGATTAGGTAACAAATTGTTCCAGAGTCAGAGGAAAGTTCCTAAATGAGCGCTTTGTATAAGATGTGGGGAAATCAATTTGTTGTTAACTGGTTCTTGATTTGGTGACATCAACTCATTTTATTTACATTTGATTATAAATCTATCAAAAGCAAATTCTGTGGAACTGTGACCTAGGAATAGGTAGTGCATTTAAACAAACCATGGTACAGATACAGTAAATCAGAATTGATAGTAAGATTGAAAGTGTATGTTCAGTTTTTTAGGGATGCCCTGCCTGTGTGGACTTCAGTTAAATTCTGTCTGAATGCATCTCTTGAGAATCTTTGTGTTTTCCATAGTTTGAAAGCTAAAACTTTAACTTCACTGAAAACCAGGTTTCTCTCTAATTACAGTTATCTTGTTTCTACTATCAGCCACAAACTAAAAATGTTAACAAAAGTTAATCTTCTTGAAATAATTGTTTTGCAGAAGATTTTGGACCTTTTTCACAATACAAAGGAAGAAATAGTGATTTTGCTATAATTTGCCGAGATGAAACTAATTATGCCTTTTTTGGTAGTATTTGTTTTTGTATTAACTGCTAGAAATTTGAGATCACTGAGATTTTTCCTCTTATTTCTTAGATTTTGCTGGTGGCCAATTAGCTAATTGTATAGAACAGGCCCTTATGTAATGTATTATAACAGTAAAATTTATCTTTATGATTATTGTGAGCCTACATAACTTTAGCTATCTAGGTACTTTATTGCTTCTCTTGCTTTAATTAAGCCTAGTTGACAAAAGGCCTTGGTAACTCATACTCAGAAGTAAATGTTTTCATAGATCGAACAAATTATTTGCTGATACTTCTACTTTGTTTTGAAGGAGTTTTACATCATGGACCAGCAAAACAATTTTTGTTTTACTTTTTCCCAAGGGATCCTGCCCATTCCTTTCATATTGTCTTTCATTTAGATCACAGTGTACTAATGAAAGACTTAGTTGGGAACAGCTGAGCAGTCAGCAAACTTGAAAATCAGGCCATCTATTAAGGTGTCAAAATATGGGCTTAGGTGTCTAGCTTTTGAAATTTTGGGTCTCACCTTCTTTTATTTGCTTCTAATATCTGCCATACCACACAAGTTCTCATTTGGAAAGAGACGATCCCTCCCCTTGGTTGTGGGTGTGGTTTTTGTTGGTTTATTTTTTGGTCAGGAGACTATTTTTG